TACCTTCAAGCCTTTAAGACCCCAGACGCTATACTTTTTGATAGCCGGGCACCATCAGCTTTCTTTGCCACATTAATGATATTGTTCTATCATTTCAGCATTCTGTTGGGGTAACCTTTCTTTGGATTGGGCACAGATATGGATCTCTTCCTGTCCATTGGCCAATTAGTTGTCTTCCAAATTTCCTGGAATAGAAAGGGGAGTTTTCCTCTTCTTCATCAGCTTGTTAAAACATTTCAATTGATATTCCATTGATTCCTGGATCCTTGTTTTTTCCAAAATACCTTTAGTGAAGTTTGGAGTTCCTGTTTCAGTACCATTAGCTCTTGCTCATATGCTACCTCCTAAAATAGTGGAATGTTGATGAGTTCTTTTGGGTGCAGTGACTGCTCATTCTTTCTATTTTCTTTTGATGCTTCCTGCATCAATCAATGTTTTACCAATAGAATCTTTCAATATAGCAACCCAAAGGCTAGAATTTTTTCTTGAGTTATTTAAATTTAAGATGAGCTTTTCATTTTCTTCCTTTTTCGTGTTCTAACTCTAGTTCTGTGCCCATTGCATTATATTTTACTTTGCCTTCTCAAGATGCCTTCTGAAATTTTCTGTTCAGTTTTTTTTATTTCTTTATTTCTTCTATGGGTCTTAGCTACTCTGTAATTAAGAACAAGTCTGAGTCTCTTTTGACATCTACTTTTATTTTTTCTTTCTTTCCTGTTTTTTCCATGACTTTTTGTTTTCTTCAGGAATGATGTTCTTGATGTTCTCCGACACCTCATCAGGTTTCTGTAATTAATATTCAATGAGGCCACTCTGTTCTTGAAATTCAAGTGGAATAGACTTAAGGTCATATTTTGGCTTTTGTGGACTTATTTTCATTTTCTTCAGCTTTAACCTGAAGTTACATATGAGAAATTAATGCTCTGTTCCACAGTTAGATCCTGGTCTGTTGTTGTTGTTTTTTTTTTTAATATGGAACACTTAATGAATTTGCATGTCATCCTTGTGCAGGGGCCATGCTAATCTTCTCTGCACTGTTCCAATTTTAGCATATGTGCTGCCGAAGCAAGTACACCCTGGTCTGGTTTTAACTGAGGTTATTTAACTTCTGCATCTTATCTTCTCACAGATGTAGTCAATTTGATTTTTCCGTACTCCATCTGGAGAAGTCTTTGTGCACAAGTTGCCTTTTGTGTTTTAGTTAGTTTATTGTGCCAACCTGGCCGATAAACACATGTGGGATTAATTGAAGGGTGCAGGGATAAATGGCTCAGTGAGCCTCGCCTTTCAAGTTCTCAGGTCTCTTGCTTTGTGATAATCGGACCAGGGTGCAGCTGCCTAAGCAGTTCCCAGCTTCAACTTGCAAGACTGACTTCCTGCAAGACATCACAAAGAAGAAGCCACATGGACCTATCCCGATGCAGCCCTGGGTGCTGGAGCAGCCCTGTGGAAACCCCTGGCAGCGCTGAGATACTGACACATTCACTGACTAGGCTTTCTTCCTGCAGTCGGCATCATTGCGTCTGTTTTGTGGGATGGAGGAGGACTTTCCGGAATGGTGTTGGACATATGGGTTAATGGGTTAATGTTGGATTTGTGGGCTTGGGCAGGACTGGGTTGGGATGTTTTCTTGATGCTCACTTAACCTTTATGTAAAACTCTCTCTTATACATGAGTTTTTGTGGATTTGTTTCTCCAAAGTACCCAGACTAATACAGTGTTGCTGAAAAAAGTATTTGCTCCAAACAAGTCATTGTTTTTACAAAACTCTATCATATGATTTTAGCTTTGTTTCTGTCACCAGGCCATATTTTCCAACTATTATTCCTTCCTATTTTTCCTTCCAATAACCAATAATTATCAATACATTTTGATAATTGCATGTTTGATCAATTTCAAACAAATGATTTGGGTAGAATTCTTTATTTTCTTCATAGCTAAGTTTCGTGGTTGGTTGGTGCATAAATTTGAGTATTCATTGTATTGATTGTATTCCCTTGAATGCAGATAGTTGCAATTCTATCACACACAGCATTGTATTTCAAGATAGATCTTGAAAAGTCCTTTGGACAGTGAATGCAAGGCCATTCCTACTGATTGTCTCATTCCTGGCATAGTAAACTATATGATATTCTCACTTAAATGGCCAATACTAACAGTCCATTTCAGCTAACAAAAACCCTAGGATATCGATCGTTACGCTTTCCACGTTGATGACTTCCAATTTTCCTAGATTCGTACTTTGTACGTTTCAAGGTCCATCTATTGTTCAATTTTTGCAGCTGTTTCTTCTCTTTTAGAGTCATTCCCATCAGCAAATGGAGATCCCAAGGACATAAGTCCCATGGGCTTTATTCTATTCAAGTCATTATAATAAATTTTTCTTTGAAAAGGCAGCTCTTCCTCGGTCGTGTTTTAAGGAATGCATCCTGAGGGGCTCATCTTCTGGCAGTATATCTGACTATGTTCTGCGTCTATTCATTAGAACTTCAGTATCTGACAATATTTTGATACTCTTCATAAAGTTTGCAGTGGCTAAATCCTTTGAAGTGGACTGCCAATTCCTCCTTTGCAGTCTATTTTTAGTCTGTGAGTTCCATTGAAATCTCCTCACTTTGTGTGACCATGGAGCATTTGAAATACTAGTGATATAGCTTCCAGCATCACAGCAACACACAAGCCATTAGTGTATGACAAACTGATAAGTGATAGACAATTACAGAAATAATTAAAATGTTGACATAATGTAAAAAACATAACCAACGGTGCTTAACATTTTGTATAGAAATTGTTAAATAACTTTTTATTGTGTATACATTCTCAAAAATGCAATAAAGTACAGCAGTGAGAGTGTGTGTTTAATCAAATGTGTGCTATTACTGAACAGATGATGTAACCTGACTGTCATTTTTAGGGACTAGCCAGTCAACTCTGACCCACAGCAACCCCATGTACAACATAATGAAACACTTCTAGGTCCTACACTATCCTCAGCATGGTTATGCTTGAATTGTTTGTTGTAACCACTGTGTCAATGCATTTCATTGAAGGTCTTCCTCTTTTTCCTGACCTTCCTCTTTGCAAAGCATAATGTCCATTTCCAAGGAAGAGTCTTTCCTGATAACATGTACAAAGTAGGTGAGATTAACTTTAGGCACATTAATTAAGCTATCTGATCACCAGAATCTATAATTAAGGAGTAGAAACAACATTTAAAACGTTTGGGAGAAAGACTGAAACAGATATTATGTATTCAAATCATTGTTGTTAGTACGATGTAGCTTGAATTTATCACATGTTCAACTTTAAGAGCAGCAAACCATGAGGATACAAAACCAGCTATAGATTTTAAGAGGTAGAGATGTAAAGAAATTATTTTTTTCCATTTTATTTCTCCTTTTTTCTCCTCCGTTCCTTCTCTCTCCCTCTTGCTTTTCCTCTCTCCTTTGTTTCTTTCCTGAATTCATCTAATTTCTTCTTATCCCTTTGTTTTTTCTTTGCTTTCATTCCCCCATTTCCTCCTTCCTTCTCTCCTTCTTCCCTCTATTTCTCTTGCTTCTTTTCACTTTCCATTCCTTTGTTTTCCTAAATTTAGTTTTTCTCTCCCTCCCTTCTTTCTTTCTTCTCTCCTTCCCTTCCTTCCTTTACTTCTTTCGCTCTCTCTCTTGTACTCTGTGCTTTTTATACTTGCTTTTCTCCCTGCCTGTCTTGGAGCATCTATAGTTCAAGAACAGAGTGCAAGAGTATTGTCAAAAACAACTTAGACATTTGGATTTGGTCATGTTTTCATGATTCACATTCCTCATTTTTAAAATTTTACTTTTAAGCTTGCTAAAGCCCAAGTGGCTGAACTGCTTTAGTTTCAGAAGAATTCTGTTAGTATTCTGTCATGTGGGCCAGCTTTCCTCTCAAAACACGAAGGTCTTGGTGTGGCTATATACCCTATGAAGTAAGGAAAGTTTATTTGTAGAGTTATTACATCCATAACCAACATGTGATGGCAATGTGCACATATTCACAAACATGAAATGCAATTCTAGAAGCATGAAATTCAATTTGTGATAGTTTTCCTCCACTCTCCCTCAGTGACCTCATGGCCTGGGTGTGGCCTGATGATCACCTTCCCAGAGCCAATTTCTGATTCTGACATTCTGTGTTATGCATCACTTGTGTTCTCCCAACCCCAGATTCCCTCTGCTCATGGGCCTTTCCCCCAGTTTTCTCCAAACTGTCCTCACACCAGGTAACGGCAGCCTGCAACCCATGTTTTCCACCCCACCAACAGCTCCACTCCTTTTGCACAGCGTCATGCGAGCCATCAGTTGCACATTGCTTCACAGACACCATGTTCTCCAGGCCTCCTGCTTGACCAGCCACACGTCCATGTGCTGGCCACCCACTGTTGTTCACCAACCCTATCTGTGCGCAGGAGGGTTGCTTGATAAATGAAGGCCAGCTCTTTGAAATGACCAGAGAGAAGTTCTCTGCCTTAAAGTGGAGCTACCCGTACTTTCTCCAGTAAGGTTTGTGAGCCCACTTCCAAGTCTGTCCTTCATAGGATACTACATAGAGTTTTGTTTTGTTTTCAGATCTTATGTTTGCTCACTATTCTTTATTACTTAGCAATTCTTCACATTAAAATTCTCTGTTAAAATTGATGTGACCTTTCTATAGCCTAAATGTCTCCAGATTAGCTTGTCAAGAATGAATTTATCTCGACAAATACTATAGTTGCTTTTCTGTGAACTCCCTGTACACATCTCTATATTGGATGCCCCGCTCTTTTACCATTTTTCAAGTTCATTAATAACCTATACCTCCAAAACAATACAACAACCATACTTATGACAGCTAATAGGATCAAGCTATTTTCTGGCTTATTTATTTATTTTCCTTTATTTATTTTCCAAGATCTGAAGAATCTAATAATGTATGGCCTAAATGGTTTATTGTCTAAAACTTACAAGTAGTTGGAAAAGAAATACTGAATCATAACTTCCTTAATAGCAGTGGATGCCAATCTTTCAATCAAGTCACATCTGGATGATCCTTTATTGGGGATATGGCTAAAGAGAACTACTCTCTCTTGACTTTCACCTTCCTACTTGCTTGGATTCTGCATCTGGGTCCATCCTGGGGCAGCGCTGTGCCCTACCACTGCTGAGACCTGTCTGCTCTGGCCATGTTCTTCCCGACCTGGGATCCGCAGGACTCTGGACTCACTGGCCCCTGAGCTCCCAGCTTCCTGCTTTGCTGTTCTGCTTCATTCACCAGCAACTGCTTAAGTCTACTTTGGCTAGTGTCAGACAAAGTAGATCTGAGTTGTACTGGGCTGGAACTTTCTTGACATAAAATTATTTCTTGATAAAAAGTTCTTTCTTTTATATATATGAGTCACTGGTTTTGTTTATCTATAAAACTCAACCTAACATAACAAAACTCCATCAAAAGAAAAAAAATGACAGAATGAATTTTTAAAAAGTATGATCCATCTGTTTGCTTCTTAGAAGAGATACATCTTAGATCCAAAGACATAGTATATTGAAAGTGAAAAAGAACACAAATCACAAATATCAATCAACATTGAATTGAAAATTGAAAAATTGAATTGTAGTGGCTGTACAAAATATTTTATAAGGAACAAAGTAGGGTGTACATACATATATATTAACATACCAACTAATCAATAATACATAACAATTATAAAGATATAAATTGGGGCTTAAAATTCCAGGAAAAAATGGAATTTAAAGACGATGGAACTTTTCAATAAATGTTTGCATGGATTTCATCTTTTTCTAACCCCACGCCCCAAAACTTATAAAACATAAAACTGACAGACTAGGAGAAAGAAATAGCCAGGTCTACAATATTTTTTGGAGAATTCAATAAAATATTTTTTGATACTTGAGAGAACAATTATAAAGTTCAATAAAAAACAGAAGAGTTGAATAATAATATTAGTCAACAGGCTTAATATAGGTATATAGAATACTCCACCTAAGAACAGTACAATATATAAATGTCTCCAACACACAGAAGTCATTATCCAAGAGTAATTGTAAACTAAGCA